TTTCGGTGTGTGTCTGCACCTGTGCGTGTTTGTTCAGATTTCTAACTCTGGAACCGCAAAGTAAGGAAGCTGAAATTTTATAAGGATGCTCCCAGCTCATGCACCACTCAAATAGCCTAAAATCAATGTTCACCTTCATCGGGGTATAAAATTTTGTAGATATATTTGGTTCCTGAGAAAGAGTAGAAACATTCGATTACATCGCAACATGTTATGGGGCATTGCCTGAGTTCATACATTCACGCGCTACCCATGTTATATTACGCCGTACTGTGTCACATTCTTTTTGATGCAGTCCGGACTGATCTGATGGGCAAATCTTCCACTAAACGCACCTCTAAGCACATACTCGTGAGACGTTTCTCGGGACTAAATTTTTATTTGTTAACTGATAACGGGGTAAAATGAAAACGAACGTATTAATTAATCGAACGCTAACAGTAATAACAACATAGAAAATGATATCAGTTGACGGCGATAAGTGAATTGGCTGAGAGTGATAACGAAAAATAAAATTTGATCCGAAAGCACGAGGAGTATTAGGGTAGATAGTGGTCATTCTGATAAAATGAACGTTAACATCAAAAGAAACACTGAAAAAACATATAAATCAAGTTCGCATTTCTTAACCTCAGTTCTGGTATTCACGATAGACGAAAGCGTATTACAAAGTTGTACGGTACCATCAATTAAAAAAAGGAAAATCACATTAGCAGCCTGAGAAAGTTTTGAAAATTCCTGAGATATTCCAGCCGACAATTAAAAGAGAAAATTTACAGCACAGTGATTTTGCATGAGACATTTCGTGCCTTGTTCAAGCCAGCTCACTCCACGGTATGTAAGTTGCCCAAGCCAGTTCACGCAAAAGTAAATTTATAATTTATCGTGACTTCGTTATATTTCGTTCTTTCATTTGTTTCCTGCTTATACCGTGCTTGTAATCAGCTCTTTAAGGCACTGCAAACTGTTTCGGAAGACTAAAAGTCAAAGTCAAAATTACCCGTTCTCCCATTCCTCTCTTCAGTAAAAAATGTAAAGGACAACTTGCAAGTAACTAAATTGGCAGCAGAGAATTAGCAGCAAAAACTGGCAAAGCTGCTGATGGGTTGCTAAAAACAACCTGAAAAAGTTTTGTTAATGCACAGATCATTTGAAGCCCTCCTTCCTTCTCCAGTCTCGTAGCCACGGATATTTACAGATTGTATCCCAATAATTCCCAAATCACAGAAAAAGGTTTCGTCTCCTAACATGTGCAGCATAATTTACCGTTCAAAAGAAATAAAAGTATTATAAAAGAATTTATTATCCCAGTGGCGAAAGGCAAACTCCAGTATTACCGAAAATTCTGAATTTAAAAGATTGTTATCACACGCTACTAACGGAACTTTGTGCCGGTATATTGCTATTTCTGTTGCAAAAGCTATTTTGTAATGGAAAATTCTCAGTCCTTTTTCGCTTC